CTGCCGTTGGCCCCGGCTCGTTCGGTGCTGGATTTGTCCTTGAGCCGCTCCTGCCAGGGTCCTGTCAGTGTGGGTAGTGTAGCTGGGTAGGCTCCCGCTGTGGGCCAGAACACGGTGTCTGTCCAGTGAGGCACGCTGAAGGTTATAGTGTGGATTTAAAGCGTAATAAGTAATGCAAAAAGCCTGTGAATAAAGAGCATGAGAGAAGGGGAAAAAAACCACGGAAGACACCTAAGCACAAACCCAGTGTAAGAGTGGAAGTGCTGGGTTTGTAGGCAGAGCTCAACATGGGACATAGTTTAAGACGCCCGCAGCGGAACTCACTGTCTCTCTGAAGGTGAGAAGAGTCATGCTCCAGTCAGAAATAGCAGCTATGAAATAGCAGCTGATATTAATTAAAACAATTGTACAGGAGTTCAAACTGTTGGCCCCAGAGAGAGACATCCTGTAAATGCTGTCCTCTAACCTGCAGCCTGGAATCGGAAGCAAGAAGCTCCATCCTGCAATGTGGAGGAGTACTTGAGAAGAGCACCAGAGGTGCTGTGCAGTTACCTCTAGCTCAGTACTGGCCCTTGTCAAAGGACATAGGAAAGTAATTGTAAAGATTTTATTGTGAAAGTGGGACATACAGTTCCTCTGTTGGATGTAGGAGGGAAGACATTAATTATTCCAGTCAGTAACTGCTAATATTAAAATGAATAAATGAAATGATGATGCACTGGGATGGTGGTTAAAACAGAGGAATTGGAAGAGTTATGAAAAACATGGGTAACAGGCAAACCCTATCTACAGATCTGTAAGTCATGTAGAACTACGACGTGATGATGTTTCAGAAGCTTAGGAGCAGTGCAAAGTCAACAGCCCATGGCTTTTGCCAGTGGAGCAGTGGTAGACATTCAAAACTTGTCATGCTTGGTGTAACGTAACAATTCCATCAGTTCACCTTTGGCATGAGGTAGATGTGCTGTCAGATCACAAGCCATTAGGCTGGCTCTGCTGGCTCTCTGCTTTCCAGCCACGTGTGCTGAGACCGTAGCACTGGGATGTCCAACAAAGCCATGGCAGATGATGGAGATGAAGAGCTGGGCATGGCTTCCAGAGCTCAAAACAGATGGCTCAGTGGAACAGAAGCCTACAGCTCATGCTGGAATACTTTTATATCTCTGGTGGGAGGCTGCAGGCAACCTAACAGAACCCCAAATACAGCAGGATGCTGCAGGGATATGCTTTGGTCATATCTTAAAATAAAATTAGTTTATTTTAAGATGAGGGGTACATCCTTTCTCCAGGTGTACCTTCCTTCTTCAGGTGAGATGTGAGCTGAATGTCAAAATCAGATTTTCTTTAAAGGATAATAAACAGTAATCATAGGAAATAGAACTTACGTAAGGATTTGGTTCATAATTTGCACCTAGCAGCATGCCTGAGACGGAAAATGGCTCATATTTCCTGCCAAAATAGCTGAGACTTGTCAGATGGTAGCTTTCCATCTAAAGAGAGTAGATGAAGCTTCACCCATGAGCTTGCTCCCAGATGAGGAGGAGTGATTATAAATTATGCAGTTGAGAATGGACTGCAGAAAACAGGCTGGCATTTTTTATCCCTCTTCATATCCCTGCAGTCTTTTGATCAAGGAACTTTCTTCCAGAGCTGCTTTGTGAGCCTTCTATGGAATAAAGCTGCACTTTGAGAGGCTCGAGAGTGTTTGAATGAAATACCAATCTTTTTTCATCTGCAGGGAAGGCAGCTGCCCCTCAAGACTGGAACTGGATGAGGCGTGGGGATCCTCATATGACAGGGCTGGCACATAAGCAGTAATGAACTGAAGAACGAAGCGTTTACCAAATACCAATACATGCCATGGTGTCTGAAAAAATAAAGGCAGCAATGGGTGAAAACAAGGCTTACTCACGGCAGTACAAGCAAGACCAATTAACAGCTGGTCATATTTGATGGACATTTGATGGCAGGTAAAACTGAAGCTGGAGCCTTGGGACAACTGGAGATGCAGCGCAGCCTGTGCTAAGGCCTACAGGGAAAGAAGAGGGGACAGAAGTATTGCGAGCCACATTGTCTGTGAGGCAACAAAATAATGTGGTGGGCAAATTTACCGCAGCAACTGTGTTTGGCGTCCTTACTGTTGCTTTTTTTGTGGTGAAATTCTCTTAACATGGTGCCATTCCAGGATGGGCTAGGCGGCAGCCATCCCTCCTTCCAGGACATCAGCAAAGATGAGGCACCCACACCATGTCCCTGAGCCCGGAGGTCCCTCCTGCTCACTCCGTGTGCCCGGGCACACAGCAAGGCCC